AGAATATACGCGTATAATACTTTCCAAAATTCCATTATCTTCAAGATTAGTAGAAATAAATCCAGCACTTTCAATTTTTTTTCTATTCCATATTGATCTAAGTTTAATTTCAGAACAATTGGAGTGTGATAAAATCCTATTACTAAAATTATCTATTTATAATTCCGTCATATTAATAAAAATAATAAAGTAATTAATATATAATAATTTAAAATTTATCTATCTTGATCGTCTTCCTACTTATTATTTAAAATATATATTGAAAGGCTACTACCATCAATGTACCAACCTGATAGTAATTGACATAATCGTGATTCTATAATAAATTCTTTAAATATTAATTGTAGTATTATATTGTTTATATGATCATCTATTCACCATCCACTAAATATCATAATGTTTGTAAAGTGTTAATTTGCTGAAGTAATGTGAGTTCAAGATTGTACTTATTTGTATGTGATACAATTGACTTGAATATTCAGTATACCATTTCCTTTAATCCAATAGCTGTATTGATATATGAGAAGGTTTCTAGGAAAATCAGATTCTAAGAAATTTTTGACTAAAATTAAGAGCTTAAAACATTTTAATGTAATAACATTTAAAAACTAAAATGCAATAAAAATCTCAATTTTGCTAAAAAATTCCTAGAACCTGATTTTTCTAGCAATCAACCCATATGTTAAATATTGATACGCATGATCTACCAAGTGACGATTTATATGAAGATTTGAAAGATTTTTGATGCTAGTAAGAAACATCTAAAAAAATATTTTTAAATTGAATTATTATTTAATATAAAAAAATTAATATATAAAAATCATAAATAATTTAATATTTATAAGCAATACTTTAGTTAATGCAATAAATTCTTCATTTAATGCTTTTTAAGTTGAGAATATCTATTCAGTCTATTAATAACTGGTAAAAAAATCTTTTTATTTGCTTTTGCAATAAGTTTTCAAGTTTAATAAGATAATTTATAACATTAATTTAGCAAGAAAAATTTAACCAAATTCTTATTTTATCTAAAAAGGTAGTCTTAATATTATTAATTATTAAATAACATTTTAAATCATTAAAATTTGTAATAAATCTAACATCATAAATGAATATCAATGTGAAATTGAATTTGGTAAACGTATCTATTTTGCTAGAACTTAAAATATTTCTAGTATTTAATTAAATTATTTTCTTCTTATGAATATTAAAATAAGACAAGTACATTTAAGAAGTTATATTACCTTTCTTACAATAGCATGATATGCATCTTGTAAAACATATTGATAACGATCATGAAGAATAGAATTAAGCAAATCTGATAACAATTGTAAACTATATTAAAAACAAAGCTGTGATTTCATTGAATTTGTTTGTTCTTTATTTTTAATTTAAAATTTATTATCTGTTGTATGATGATATCAATCATTAGAATATATATCAAAGAAGATATTCATTTTTAGTAGCTTTACAGCTACGACATCTTAAATTAGCATTATAAAGTAAAACACTTGCAATATCATTGTCTTGTGATAAATCAGCTGTAACCATAGCTAATTTACCTAAAATTCAGCAGTCAATACTATTTACATTCATTATAAATCTATTTTCAAGTTATTAAATTTCTTTAATAAAATTTTTTATAAAATCTTAAAAGTTCCTATTAAATTGTACCAATTCAATTATAAAATCATTTCACAATCATTTTTTAATTTTTATAGCATATTATCAATCTGCAAATAAACTCCACCCAAAAATGATATGTATTACAGAAAGTGTCAAAATCATCATAATATAAATCTAAATAAAATCTAAAAATTAACATATTTAAATTTAATAGATATGCATTTAACTAGATGTTGTTGATGTAATTTTATTGAATAAAATTTCTATTGACTATTATAATAATATAAGATTTTATTTACAAAAAATTTAACTACAAGTGAAGAAGATTTGTCTTGAAGCTAAATACTAATATGACAAATTAATGATAAAGGATTAATAATAAACAATTTTGCTTCTTCAACTAAATATTTTTTATGTAATAAATATGAAGTATGTTATTTTAAATGCAAATATTGTGAAATTTGCTTATATGAAATAAGTCTTTGAATTTGAATTTTCAACTTTTCATCTACAATTATAATGAATGAATTCTACTAATTTTAATAGATTTTGAAGTAAAATAATATCAAATAAAATCTTTACAATTAACGTTAAATGAACCTAAAATATACTTCATTTAATAAATTATACAATATAAAAATTAATATATACCTTATACTGTAACTAGATTTGATTGATCAAAAAGTAGAGATTCTGCATAAAGTTCTTCTTTCTATAACTTTTCACATGATTTTGAAAAAATATCAGGTTTAAAATATAATTAAGAATTAAGAAATAGATTTTTTAATATATGTTAAAGATGTTTAATTAAAAAGAAGTAATAAACTCTTTTAGTATTCTTGATAGTTGATGTTGTATTTCTAGTATTTATTAAAATTATATAACTTTAAATTTTCATTAAAGATAATTGTTCATGTTATTTTTTAAGACTTTACAAACTAGTAGTTAAATGTTCTTTTTAAAATTTAAAATGAAGTAAAATTTATATCAGATCTCGATAAGCCGTGATTGCTAAAAAATATATATTTAAATTTTTTATTGCTATTGCTTTATATAATTTAATTAATTAAAATATTTGAAAACTTATAAATCATATATTTAGTAATCCATATAAACATTTTACATTTATAAAATTATTAAAAAATCAAAAGAATATCCATTAAAATTATCTTTTATTCTATTAAATATTTTTAGTATATTATCTGAAACTAATTTATACTTACTATTTGTATTATCACTAGAATTACTTTTTTTTTTAAATTATTATTATAATTATAATTAGTGATACAGTTAACTCTTGATATAGCGAACTCTAAATATAATAAATTTTTTAAATAAATTGAAAGTGCTGGATTTATTTCTACTAATCTTGAAGATAATGGAATTTTGGAAAGTATTATACGCGTATATTCT